TGTCTATATCGCTTTTTAAATGAAATAAAAAGCCGGGATCTAGAAATTTTGGGATTTTAGTTGACTGTCTAAGGCGCGAACTCGTCCCTTGACCTATTGCTGCAGCTTCAGATACGGGTTGAAATTTTTTGCAATCAAAATTTTTCTGCTAATAGTGCCATACTTGACTCATGTGATAGTCAGATACCGTGCTTTGTGAAAAAAGCCCCTAAATATTTTAGAGTAAGAACAATTCTGAAAAGTAACTTGTCTTTAGAGTCACAAAAACGTTTGCTGTTTCAGTATGAAGTGAAATCCAGAATTGTGAAAGCTGAAGCTGTTAGCAAGGGCACGCGATTATCTACCAAATAATTTTGCTGTTAACAGTTAGTGTACACGGCATTTATTTCGAATAATTTGGTAGCCTGTTATTGTCAACATTCAAGTTCCAGTCTTTCCGCATCTGCGATATGCACTAGTTTTGGTATGTAAGTCAACAGCAATAGCATAAAAATTGCACCCGAAAGGAACGACATATATTGCCTGGGTGCAAAAAGATCGCTGTGCTGATTAGTAGTCAAAATTGAAATGATAGTTCTAATCATTGGGAGCTCAAACACTTTTCAATGAATTCACAAAATAAACAATCTATAGGCCTGACACAACAGATAAAACAAAAAAAACCCGCTCACTAAATACTCGTTTCACAACAAATACTAGCTGGATCGTTTCCTAAAAGAAATACACAGGTTTTTTTAAATTACACTATTACACTAATCACATTTCAGTTAGCCGGCGAGCACAGTGCAGCGGGAATTAACTCGATTATAGCACTCAAGGCCGAGGGCCCGCTCTGTCACTGCGGCTGCAAGTCTCTCTACGACTCGTCTCGAAGCTGGCGTTTGCCAAAGATTCGATCTCGCCATCAGCTCGCTTTTAAGAACCCTTGAAAAAGGCAGCAGTCGTCAGCCCTGCCAATGGCCTCCCTCTCAAAAAGAGAGCGAATACGGAAGGAGCTTTGACTTTTTTTAACAGACTTTGACATTTCAGTTATAAAATTTAGCAAAATTTTCGTTGAAAACCGTGTTATACTCATCCGGGCAACGATCAATTCAAGCTACTGAAAGCAAATCCTCAGCCTATTTCGCTTACGCCCAGCCAAATTTTGGATAACTGAAAGAAAATCAGTTCTGGAAATATCAGAACAGTGCAACACCAAACAGTACCATGCGCGTTCTGTAAAAGGTTACGCGCAGTTGGGAAAGTTAAGCGTAAGTGCCACTCTTTTTTTGAGAACAGGATTCCTACAGATCAGCAGAAATGCATTTTATCAATTCAGATTTAATTTTGCCTGAATTGATTTGTGCGAAGAAAGATTAGCAAACATCCATAGTTTCTTCATCAAAAGATCTGTGGTCTTCGATTGGTGAAAGCGGTACTCCGGATGGTTCCTCAACACGCAGTGGTGTCGACACTGATGGTAAAATGCTGTGCTTCTGCGCCATTTGATAGCTCTGCAAATTCTCTTTTATATTAATAGTTTCTGAGGCAACAACCTGAGTTTTTCTTTTTTTCTTTAAGTTAAAAAGTCAAAGTCAAAAACCCGTCGCACTCGCTCCCAGATGCAGAGGCACTTGGGAAATAGCCCGAACAATCACCAAAGCAACAACTTGTCCCAAAGACTGTCGAAACCTCCTTTATTTGAAAGTTCCTTACAAATGTATAAAACAGCAGAAATGCCTTCCACCAGTTTTGATTTCATTTTTTTTTCGCTTAAATTGATTTGTGCAAAGAAGGATTAGCAAAACTGACACCTTGTAACATGCCAATATTCATCAATTCCTCCATAAATGAAGAAAAAAATTACGGAAGAAAACTGACAGTTGTAAATGTATTGGAAGTAACCTGCTGACGAAATAGTTGCATACGAGTTTTCATTTGCTTCTGCTTAAAGCGCACTTTGAGTGCGGATTTGGCTTCTGGATTGACTTCTTGCGTTACAGCACCTAATCGCTTCTCCACGTGTATACTCTGCTTAATGTTCAGCAATTTTTGCGGTTGAAATTCCAAGTTTTCCGGGAGAGATATGCGCTTCGGCACTGCACCCAACATGTGACGACGCCTTTCTATTACTGGTTTTGCTGGTGTTATTCGAAGCTTCTGCAGCTGCTTATCAACCTGTGATGTTGAAGGTCTGCAAAAAAAAAAACAAGCATTTTTATTCAAAAGGCAACTATCTTCAG